TTCTTGGCCATGAGGTAAATGACTGATTGTTCCATCACACACTCCTCACCATGATGTGCTACCTCAACATGAGCCCAAAAGCAGTGGGGCCAACCAATTATGGATCCCCACCATGATGTGCTACCTCAACATGAGCCCAAAAGCACTGGGGCCAACCAACCATGGAATGGAACACCCTTTTCTCTACACAAGCAGATTGTCTCAGGTATGTGTTACAGTAAGAGAAAGCTAACTAACAATCAGCTATATATACTTTTATATACTTACAAACTATAATGACAGAGCAACATGAACCCTTAGATATATTTAACATGTACTAGCCTACTAAAGGTCATGGGAACACAATCTCATTTTTTGTGCATTCCAAATAAAAGTTTTCCTGCTGGATATACAGTGGATGAGCACTAAACATTTATTGAAAGAAGAAATTTCTGGACCTGTATCTAAATAGCATATAATGTGTCAATGGCTGGGAAAGTTTTAGTCTACCCCACTGTGTGTGTGTGTGGTGGGGGGATCTTAGATATCTACCCAGTTTTGTTCTAGGGTAATAACAGTGAATTGTTTAAAGAACCATGTTGGAAAGACAGCTGATCTTTTCTAACTTTTAGGCTTATATAGTAGTGAGACATAGCCTACTGTGTTGATTAGATTGAGAATTAATCATTTGATGACAAGAATTCAAAATTAGGTTTTTCCTTAGAAACAACTTTCATTAAGCAGAAAATTAACAAGTGGTAGGTGGAAGGGAATTATTTTAAAATAATGTGCAACTGAAATCTGTAATGCCTGGTGATTTTGTTCTTAAACAGTATTGTTTATGGCCCATGTAATAGGTCACAAATTACAGTGCTCCTACACTATCCTGAATTGCCACTGTGTTAAAGAATGATGAGTTTCAGAACAAGAAACAACTGCTGGATCACTGACTCATTTTACATTGAGCAGCTTGTATATTCAGATGACAATATGTGGGAGTGTGTGCTGTGTACACACAAAAGCAAAATCCCAATACACTGGAATCAGCATCTCCCTACATATCCTGTTTTTAGCTAAACATGCACAAGCCTACTGTGTCTACCAGCCAGGAAGACAAATTGCATGTGTGCTGTTCTGTGATGCCTTTCAGTTAGGCTTTTAAAAAGGGTAGCCCGAAGTATTTCTAAATAATGAAGGCTGTTTTTCTATTTTTTTTCCTACCATACCAGAGGATTTTCCTATGGCCTTGAATATCAGCTTTTGAATCCCTGAAAGCCCTCACCATACAATACAGCTTTTTCAAAGGGTGTAGTATTAGGACATTCTTCTGGAATGAATTGCAGAGTTTTAAAATGATTGCAGAGTTCCTGAAGTTAGTAGGACTTTGGAGAATATTAGGACAACTTGAACTTAAGGTGCTTAAGACCCTTGTAAACGTTTTATGGTTCTTTTATGTTCTAAAATGCAGAAAGACCTTGAGGGAGAAAAGAGGAAGTAAAATGTTATCAGAAGGAAAAAAAAAATCTTGTGAATGCTACCTGGAGGGGAAAATGTGAAACTGGATCTTAATTTCCTTTTTGTTTTTCAAAGAATGCTGCCACCTGTGAAAAATGAGACCTGTGAAGGACAGAAAATGTTCCAAAGTCACTCTTTATAACAAACCCCAAATTCCACATATGTTCATATGAGTGATTGGACAAATTGTAAGTGATTATAAAGGCTCTGAAGCACTTTATTTTCCACTCAAAAATCTCATTCTCCCAATTTCTATTAGGATCATTTGGCATTCATTCAACAGATACTTTTATAATATTTACTGTGTGCCATGTATAGGATCATGACATAAAGATCCAAAGGTAGAGATAGGAGCTGGGAATATAACGTAGTTGGTAGAGTGTTTGTCTCACATGCACAAGGCCCTGGGTTCAACACACACACACACACACACACACACACACACACACAGTCCAAAGATAGAGGTATGATGAGCAAACCAGATAATTTTTGTTCAATAAAGAAAAAAACACAATTAGAAAGGGCTGGGCATGTGGCTCAGAGGTAGAGCACTTGGTTGGCATGTGTGAGGCCTGGGTTTCAAACCCCAGGACTTTCCCCTGAAGAAAAAGAAAGAAAAGGAGGAAGACTCTTGTCACTAGGGGACTCTTGACAATAGGTAGAGGGGCCACTGCAATGGGGTACTGCAGTGGACGAAAAGAGATTGGATTTCAATTCTAGTCCATAGGAGCTTGACTAAGTGAGGTCAAGAAGATTCTTGTTCAAGAAAAGAAGATTTGAACAATTTAAATCCATTTCTCTTTTGGTGGAGGATATTTGATGGATGGTACAAGCAGTTAGGCAAGACTTTAATGAGGAGAATTTCTATGAAAACAAGAAAAGTGAAGATTATTGCCTAGAAACCCAGTTTTTGAGTCCAGAGGTCAGCTAGTTGAGATTTCTAGACTCAACAAAATTGTTTTCATGAGACATAGAATTTGTGTTTCCTCAGTGAATTACTCACTGAATAAAGAAAACCCTTTTACTATAATCTGAGAAAACTTGCTCTCTTAATAGGGAGAAAACAAAATTATAAATTTGCATTAGTACATTATTCAGCCCTTACAAAGAAAGAAAAAACTTATAAATCAATAATCTAATCTTAGCAGCTTGACCACACATAAAAGTGTTTCTCCACAAACTTTCTACAACTTTTTAAATATTCATTTCATTTTCTTCCTACTCTTTTTCTCTTTCTCATGTGGAACATAGTCATCTTACTTTAGACAAAATTACTTTCTTATTCTTTTAATGAAAACACATTCTTCATACCTTACATACTTTTCCTTATTAAAAACATATCTTATTTTCCTTGCATATTTTACATATGAATTTCCCTTAACCCTTATTATTTCTAGTAGTTTTAATCACATAGCTTGATTATAATTTTTAACTATCAGTAAACTTGCTTTTACAGAGAAAACTGGGAAGTAGACAATTGTGAAGTTTGTCATTACCAGCATTCTGTACAAACAAAATTTATGAATATTATCATCTCACACTTCTTATAGGAATGTGCTATTTCCTCACAGTACACTTTTTTCATATTTATTGATAGGCCCAAATATATTTTAGTCTCTTTATACTATCTAAAAATACCCAACCTGGGAATATATAAACCTGACCTTAGGTAATTAATATTTGAGTAGTTTGTCTTATTTAGAAGTGATCTAGATATTTAATATCTATTATCTGATTTAATTTTGTGCAACTCTAAGGTCTCACAGTCATTATAACATCAATCAAGGACAGCCATCATCTCAAGTTATTTCCCTGTTAACTATTTTTAAAGTATATGCATGTCAGGCAAGCATCAAAAAGCAAAACCTAAAAAAGTGAACCATAGGGCTTGGGTTGTAGCTCAGTAGTACAGTGCATGCCTAGTACATGTAAGGCACTGGGTTGGATCTGCAGCACCACATAAACAATAAATAAACAAATAAAATAAAGTTATTTTAAAAAGCTAACCCATCTTCTTTGTTTAACTGATCTGCTTGATGTACATGAAGTGGTTGACACTGAATTTTTACTTGTACACTTGTTCTAAGATTGAATTTATAATTTAAAATATGTAGTAGAGATAACATACTAGTAAATTCAGATAGAATAAAAATGTATTTTCCTTATATGGAAGCTAGAGATAAAAAAAGTATAAAAGATGGGATCTAATAAAATTAGAAGGAAGACCAGAAGAGTAGTAGAAGGGGGACTAGGGAGAGGCAAGAAATGAGGGAAAGGGGAGGTACTAGGGAATGAAATTAACAGATTATGTTATGTGCCTGTATGACTATGTCATAATGAATCTCCCTATTATGTAAAATTATAATGCACTAATAAAATTTAAAAATTACAGTCATTCAAAAATATAATGTATGCTCCTTTCCTATTTAATGTTAACAAGTTATAAGATATTCCCATTTTTATTAAACCAACAATATTAAACCAATCTTACCAAAGATTAATCAAGTCATGTGAAATTGAAAAACCATTTGAATTAGTTCTGATTTCTGGCAAATTCAGTAATATTTAATCTTTATAGGTTTCATATATGTGTATATCAATTTGAATAGACCTCCTTTAAGAGGTTTTATAAATTAAGTTGATATTATCCAAAAGTAGAATAACATAAAATACATTACACTTCCCCAAACACACACATATAGATATACAGAAGAAAACAGAACTTGTAGCTTTAACTTTAGAATTTTGGCTGAGTCAGGAGACAGTATATAATTTTATATTTTATATTGTGTTTCTGACCAAAATGGGACAAGTTGAGCACCCTATTCCATAAGGGCTAAAAATTATTACCAGTTATTTTTTTGGAAAAGACTGCCAGATTTTTCCTTTGCTCTGATATGTAATCGTATGAAAGTTTTTTAATTTAATTTTAGACAAGAGACTGAAGGTACATCAAAGAGATAACTGGGTATCTCCAAAATCCACTTGAGGCAACAAAATAGTCAATTTGTTTCCAATTAGCTTTTCTTTTCAGCCCCAGAGAGTTGCTTTTAGGAGTTTCTGAGTCACTTTAGAGCCCCTAATGGTAACAAAGGACTAAAGTTGAAGTCAGTGCCTGAGAGAGTTGAGGAAATGGAGTGGGAAGAGAAAAGTATGGCAGGGGTAGTGGTCAGAAGGTTGAAAGAAACAGGACTTAAAAGGTGACATATAAAAGTATTTAAGGGATCTAAAAGAAAAAAA